CCTGGAACTGGGAGGCTGGTGGGGTCAGGCTGCTGCCATCTCAGGTGCCCTCTCACCCCAATGGCAGCTCTGGAGCTTCTCTTCTCTGCCCCTGCCGCTGTCTCTGCCCAGAGGAGGGCCCTAGGGTGATCATGGATGGGGGCAGCCAGGGCAGTGATAAGAGACACAAGCTCAGAGGCAAATGGACACAGAGAATTAGGCAGAGACCGGGAGACAGAGCAGAGTAAGGAGAGGCCAGGGACTGACTGTGGAGTCCAAGAGGCAGGTCCCACTGAAGACTGTGATCTGCAACCTTGGACAGCTAGGGAGCTTTGGGGCAACCCAGGACCTGGGCTGGTTCTCCCCACAGTAGCCCAGAATCCTCTCTCATCTATTCCCTGCCCATTGGCCTCCCTACGGGCTCGCAGCCTCCAGCCTTTGCCCTCACTCTATTCCTAACTCTCTCTGACACCAGATCTGACTGTGCCCTTCCTGCTTGCACACCTACTATGGCTCCCTAGTACCCTCCATCCCCAGCACTGATTTTCAGGGGTGTGGTGGGTATGGATAAAATTAAGCCAGCTGAATAAATCAGTACATTAATAATAATATTATTATTATTAATAATAATAACGATACAGGGCCCATTTTCTGCCTGACCCTGGCTCTTTACACAGATCAGCCCTTGGACCCCACAGCCATGTGGTAAGGTGGTTTCCAGGGCACCTTCCCAGTCCCAGGCGAGGATCCAAGGCCCCCAGCTCTGGCTAACTCCAGAAGGAGGGGCCTTTTCCTGCTGGCTTCCGGATTTAGGACACGTTTGCCTGGGTCTCTGACCTCCCCTCACCCCAGCCTCCCAAGTTCTGGGCCATCTATGGGTGGCAGCCAGGTCTGCAGGCTGGGGCGACCCCTGGTGGCCATGATGGGACATCCCCACCCCTCTTCTCTGGGTGGTGGCCTCCAGTCCTTCCTCCAGGTGGGCCCCCTCTTAGGTGAAGTCCCTGATCAGGCACCTCCAAGCCCCAGGTGGGTGGGGGGATAATGAGCAGGACTAGTTCAGGGGGGAGGTCAGAGTTCCAAGGACTCCCACTCCCCTCCCTGCACCACATCTTGTTAGCTGCCGACTCCTACGCATGGAGACCTAAGGCACAGCAGAAGGAACATTGCCTGGTCCTGTGTCATCCTCATGACTGACTGGATGTTCGAGTCCATCGTTGTGGCTATTGTGTCAATCCATGTCACTGAGGGTCTCCTTCACCCTCGCTGGCCCTCTACTTCACCAAACACTATGTCTTCCTCCGGCAATTGATCCTCCTGATGATATGTCCAAAGTAAGCCAGTTAGATACCATTCTGTTGTGATCCACAGGGTTTTCATTCATTGACTGATTTTTGGAAATAGATTGCCAGGCCTTTCTTCTTACACTATCTTAGTCTGGAAGCTCCGCTGAAACCTGTCCACCATGGGTGACCTTGCTGGTATTTGAAATACCATTGGCATAGCTTCCAGCATCACAGCAACCACAGTACAACGAACTGACAGATGGGGAAGGGGGTGGCACACCAGCCTCTTAGTTATTTTTATAAACAAAGTTTAATGTTTTAAAGGCAATAAATGCACATGATTTTTAAAAATGCAAACTGTACGAAAGGTATACAGAGCAACATGAGACTGCCTCCCCTGCCAGCCCCTTGGTCCTCTCCCCTGGGGCCACAGCTCTTACCAGTGTTTCCTTCCATAATATTTGAATAAAAAACCCTTCCCCAGTTAAAAAAAATTATTGCCCTCCCTGCCTTTTACACTAACATATCCTTGGAGAAGCTCTCCTTAGCATATTTAACAGTTATATAATATTCCACTGTATAGATAAACAGGAGCCCTGGTGGTGCAGTGCTTAAGAGCTAAGGCTGCTAACCAAAAGGTCAGCTGTTTGAATCTACCAACTGCTCCTTGGAAACCCTATGGGGCAGTTCTACTCTGTCCTATAGGGTTGCTATGAATCGGAATCGACTTGATGGCAACGGTATACATCTGTATAGATAAATATCTTATTTAAACAATCCCCAATTAATGGACACTTAGGTTGTTGCCAATTTTTTGTAGTTACCAAAAATATGACAATAAATGTCTCCATTATTTTTTTCTTTTTTCTCCTTTTTTAAAATAAACTTTTTATTTTGGAATAATTTTAGAGCCATAGAAAAGTTGCAAAGACAGTACAGAGAGCTCCTGAATAGCTCTCACCCAGCTTCTCCCAAAGTTGCCGTCAAGGCAATTCTGACTCATGGTGACCCCAAGTGTGACAGAGTAGAACTGCTCCATAGAGTTTTCTTGGCTGTAATCTTTATGGACGCAAATGGCCAGGCCTTTCTTCTGCAGCACCGCTGGGTGGGTTCAAACTGCCAACATTTAGTTTAGCAGCCAATAGCAAACTGCTTGCACCACCCAGGGCCAATATATTTGTCAAAGTTAAGAAATTAACCTTAGTACATTACTATTTACTAAACTCGAGACTTTATTTGATTTCCCGTCTTTTTCACTAATATTCTTTTTCTGTCCCAAAATCCAATTCAGGATTCCATACCGCATTTAGTCCATCATTTCGCACACATGTAAATATGGTTGTAGAAAAATTACTAGAAGGGAATTTATAGGTCACAGGGTATGTGCATTGTAAATTTTGATAGATTCTAGAAAACTGCCCTCCCAAGTGGCTGTACCAACAAACAGTCCCACCCGCACTGCGTGGGAATGTCTGTTTTCCCACAGCAGTGCCAGCTCAGTGTATTAACAGTGTTTTTTGTTTTTGTTTTTATCGTTTCTAAACTTACTTGGGTGGAAAGTGGTACCACGTTGTACTTTCAATTTGCATTTCTTTTCTATGAATAAGGTTGAGCACCTTTTTGTATGTTCCTGTGAACTGGCTGTTTACGTCCTTTGTCCACTTTTCTACCAGATTTTTTAAAATTATTAATTTATAAGAGTGCCTTATATAATAAAGAAATTAGTTTATTCTCAGGTATAAAAAACTATCCAAACTGGGATCTTTGTTTCCTTCCAAAGGATTTTCTAGTTAATTGTTTACATACAGGAAAGCTTCTGTCAATTCTCTGGGGTTTTCTATATATAAAATCTTACTATCGGCAAGTGATATTTTACAGTGAATCACTTCTAGGGTATTCCTGCCAAAAATGCCAACCTGAGCTTAATCATGAGGAAACATCAGACAAACCCAAATTGAGGGACTCCACAAAATAACTGGCCTGGGCATAAAAAAAAACCAATGTCAAGAAGGCAGAGACAGACTGAGGGATGTTTCAGGTTTAAAGAGATGAAAGAGACTTGACAAATGCAATGTGTGAGACAGGATGTTCTTTTGTTATAAAGGACGTTATCAGGACAGTTGGCAAAATCTGATTAAGGTCTGTAGATTAGATAATAGTATTTTATCAGTGTTCATTTCCTGATCTTCATCATTGTACCAGGATTATGTGAGAGGATGTCTTTGTTTTTAGGAAACGCATATTCAAGTATTTATGGGTAGAGAGACATCATTTCTGCAACTTTCTCTCAAAGGTTCGGTTTTAAAATATATATAACCAGTTGCTGTCGATTTTGATTCATGGCGACCCCATGAGTGTCACAGTAGAACTGTGCTCCTTAGGGTTTTCAAAGGCTGATTTTTGGGAAGTAGATCGCCAGGCCTTTCTTCCGAGGTGTCTCTGGGTGTACTTGAAACTCTAATCTTAGTAGCCGAGTGTGTTAACCATTTGCACAACTCAGGGACTCCTTCATGTGTGTGTGTTGTTGTTGTGTGCCATTGAGTCGATTCTGACTCATAGTGACCCTATAGGACAGAGTAGACCTGCCCCATAGGGTTTCCTAGACTGAAACCTTTACAGGAGCAGGTCACCAGGTCTTTTCTCCTACAGAACAGCTGGTGGGTTCCAACTGCCAACCTTTCAGTTAGCAGCCGAGCACTTAACCATTGCGTCACCAGGGATCTTATGTGTGTGTGCATGTGTATGTATGTATGTGTGTGTGGAGAGAGAGAGAGAGAGAAAGGATAAAATAAAGATAGTAAAATACTAACATCTGAAGAATCTGGGTGTAGGATATCCAGGAATTCTTTGTCCTATTCTTGCAATTTTTCTGAAGTTATGTGAAATATAAAGCTCAAAGACAATGTGACATTGATCCAAATAAAATTGTTGCTATTTCAACAATTTTTGACTATATAAACAGCACTTTTATATGATTTGGTGTATAAATTCTCTTCCTCTTTTCTAATATTCATACGTCATTTTTTTTTTCTTGTCTAATTGCATTGGCCAGTACCTCCCGAACAATACTAAATACCTCATCTTGGCCCTGGTTTTGATGGCTTTTTCAGAACTTATATTCTTTGATTCACTAATATGGTGGACTACATTAACAGGCTTCTGAATATTGAACCATCCCTCCATCTCAGGTGTGAGTCCTCTTTGTTGTGGTATATTTTAAAAACCTGCCACTGGTTTGCTAAAATTCTGTCTGGGAGTTTTATATCCTCCTCACCAGGAGAGGGGTTTGTAGTTTTCCCCTTGTGCCATCTTTGTCTGCTTTTGGTGTCAAGAATGTGCCAGCTCCCTAAACATGAGTTGAATCACCCATTTTACAGACAGGGTAAATTGAGGCACAGAGAGGGTAAGTGACCCTTCCAGGTCACTCTGGAGCCAGGGCTGGTCTCCAAGTTCTTGTGTCTGTGGTATGAGGGAGGTTCTGAAGTCAACGGGGCCCTCAAGTCCCAAATGGGACTTAAAGTGACCAAATGGGTCTCAGTTTCCCCATCTGTAGAATAAGCAGTAGATGGTCAGGGAATGGGTCTGAGTCCCTTTGTGTATAGTTTCTATCCGAGGAGACTCCTGGGTCTGAAGCTGAGCGTTGATGGGGTCAACTGGGTGTCTCATCCAGCATGTCCCCGCAAGGCCCTCTCAGTGCTTGCCCTCCTGATCTTGAGCCCCATCCTGCTGGGGATCGAGTCACCCCTGCACACGCCGTGCAGTCCGCCGGCAGCCCCCCGAGGATCCAGGGCGGGCTCTCGAGCGGGGACTGGGCCGGGGCCGGGACCCCGATCGGGGTTGGGGGCGCGACACTCTGCGTTGGGGGCTCATCTCGGTCTCTAGGGCGTTGCTGCCGGGATAGGAAGGGGCTGGTCAGTAGCGGGACCTCTGTCCCCAGAGACCCCTGCCATCCTCTGCCTGAATGCCTCTTCACGGGGAACCCCACTTCTCAGAGATCTCTACCCCCCAGGGACTGCCATCCCCTGCCCCACCACTTCTCCTCGTCTTCCAGGGATCTCCACCTGCCCCTTCTCCCAGCCCTCCACCCCCAGGGTCTCCCATGCAAACCCCGGCCTTTCCCTGGAAGCCCGCTCACATACACACCGACCCCCAGATACCTCAGGCAGGCCCTCCAAAACTCCTGTCTCTTCCCTGGATCCACCTCTACTGCCCTCCCCAATCCCCCTTCCTCCATGGATCCCTTCACCCTGTCCCTTCCCCAGGACTCCCACCCCAGATTCCTCCATCCCTCTCCCAGCCACGGCCACGTCTGGGAATCCCTTCCCCCAAGGACGCTGTCCCCAAAGATCCCCTCCCTTCCACGCTCCGGCCTCGCCCGTTCCCACGGAAGCTCGGCTCCCAAAACCTAAAGCCCTGACCACTCCCTCGATACTCCCTTTTCCTTGGCCCCTTCCCTTCGGCTCCCTGACCCTTCCTGGGACCCCTCCTATCAGCGCCCGATCCCAGGAGCCCTTGCCTCCCAGAGTGCCTGCCCTACCTGGGGACCCCTGCCCCAGAGAGCTCAACCTTCTTCACCATCTCTGGTTTCCTACTCTAGGACCCTCACTTTGGCCTTCCCCCTACTGCCTCCCCAATGTCGCGCCCTTACGGCCACGCCCACACTCCCTCCCGCAGGGACCCGTTCCCGGTCCCGCGCCTTGCATCTTGGCTGAAAGAAGCAAGCCCTGCACAGCCATTTGCCGCGCGCCCCGCCCATTCACCCCGGGCCCGCCCCTAACTCACACGCGCTGTCTCAGTGTCGCCTCCCGGGCCGCGCAGGCTCCACCCTCGGCCTCGGCCGCGCTTGCGCGTTGCTGCGCCTCTTCCAGCCGCAGACTGGTCTCGGCTGCAGCCTCCTCCCAGCGCGCCAGGGCTTCTGCGGGTGGGAGCAGGGCCAGGGATTTAGTGTCTGCATACAATTTGCATGCCTTACTTTATTTGCATTAAACATGTGGTATTTGCATAGTTTTTGTGTTGCTTTTGTGTGCCTTTTACCTGACGTTTGAATATTTTGTTACACTGGGGTTGATTTTGTGATATGTGCATGGTCTTTGCATGTCGTTTGCATTCTTTCCATAAGTTTTCGTGGTCATTTACATTTCGTTTGCATTTCATTTGCATACCTAGGAACCTTCTGGGCACCCCCACTTCTAGCCCTTCCCAGCCCTTTCAGCCCCAACACACCTGTCAGTGCCCCGTTCTCCTCCCCCATCTGGGTCCCCTGTGCCCTGGCCTCGTCCATCTCAGTCTTCAGCGTCTTCAGTTGGGTCTGAAGCCGGCTCTGCAGAGAGAACGGAAGAAGGGAGAGACTGAAGGTGGGAAGAGGGAGTAAGATGGCTCCACCCTTTCCGGGGGAGTCTGAGATTTTTGTTGGAAAGTCGTTTGGAGTCTCTAAAGTAGTAGGGATTGGAGCCCTGGTGGCGCAATGGTTAAGAACTAAGGCTGTTAATCAAAAGGTTGGCACTTCAAATCCACCAGCTGCTCCTTGGAAACCCAGTGGAGCAGTTCTACTCTGTCCTATAGGGTTGCTGTGAGTCAACACCACGGCAATGGGTTTATAGTAGTATGGATTACATACACCTCAACATAAAGAAAACAAAAATCCTCACAGCTGTACAAATGTGGAGAAAGACTGACGTTGTCAAGGATTTCATTTTACTTGAATCCACAGTCAACATCCGTGGAAGCAGCAGTCAGGAAATCAAACGACGGATTGCATTGGGCAATTGTGTTCAAAAGCAAAGATTTCACTTTGAGGACTAAGGTGTGCCTAACCCAAGCCGTGGTATTTTCAGTCGCCTCATATGCATACAAATATGGAAGACCCAGGAAGAATTAATGCCTTTGAATTACGGTAGTGGTGAAGAATACTGAATATACTACAGACAGCCGTAAGAATGAACAAGTCTGTCTTGGAAGAAATACAGCCAGAATGCTCCTTAGAAGCAAAGATGGCGAGAGACTTCATCTCACGTACTCTGGACATGTTATCAGGAGGGACCCGTCCGTGGAGAAAGACATCATGCTTGTTAAAGTAGAGGGTCAGCAAAAAAGAGGAAGACCCTTAACAAGATGGACTGACACAGTGGCTGCAACAAAGGGCTCAAGTATAACAACGTTTGTGAGGGTGGCGCAGGGTCGGCAGTGTTTCGTTCTGTCGTACATAGGGTCGCTATGAGTTGGAAGCGACTCAACAGCATCTAACAACATAGTAGTAAGTAGGTTCCTAAGTGGCACAACAGTTTGCGCTCGACGACTCACTTAAAGGTTCAAACCCACCCAGCAATGCCATGGAAGAAAGGCCAGGAGATCTGCTTCTGTTAAGATTACAGCCAAGAAAACCCTATGGAGCAGTTCTACTCTGTAACACTTGAGGTCTCTTTGAATCAGATCTGACTCCATGGCAATGTGGTTTTTTTTTTTTGGTAGTTGTAAAACACAGAAGTGGTCACTGAAACCCAGGGTAAGGAGTGGTGATAGCTGCCTGTCTGGAGGTAGTCTCCACCCAGGCCCACTCTCCTCACCACAAGCCACCAGGCAGTGGAAATGGCTTATCTTTGTGGTCAAACAGATCCCGGTTCAAACCCCAGCTCAGGCTTAGATTTGCCCAAGCTTGGGGTTTCAAGCCAACCCAAGCCAATTTGGTGGCTGATAATAATTGGGCTTCTGATGCGCGTGTCGGCTGCCTCTGGGGGATATTTTGTGAAACAATTGGGCTGGCCTCTTCAGAGAATCTTCCAGAAAGGGGCAGAGATGGACTTGAACCCAGGGTGGTGCTCTTAACCTCAGTCGCTCCAGACTTTTCCCTTGGGCAGACAGAAAAGGGGTACATTTAGATGTTTAAAACTCAGATGCTGCCCAACCTCTTTGCCGAGCAGGGTACATACTAGTCAGTCAATAAATGTAAGTGGTTGGAATTTTGAGGACAGGTCCTTTGTGAGAGGAGCCCCTGGGTAGTGCAAACAGTTAAGTGCTCAACTACTAGCCAAAAGATTGGCAGTTCTAATCCACCCAGAGGTACCTTGGAAGGCAGGCCTGGTGATCTGCTTCCAAACAATCCCAACCTTGATAACCCTATGGAGCACAGGTCTGCTCTGCGCACATGAGGTCACCATGAGCTGGAATCGACTTAATGGCAACTAACAACAACTTCTATGAGACTCAAGGCTAAGAAGGGGTAGGAAAGAGTCTGAAGCGGGGTGGCTGGAAGAAAGGGAGGGCCTGGTGGGTACCTCCCTCAAACCACCAACTTTAGCCTCCTAATTACAGGTGGTATGAGTCACTCTCTTGAAATAGGGCTGCTGGATATTTGCTGGTGGGTGGGAGGGAGTCACCGGGCCACTCCAAGTGGGCTTGGGGTCTAAGACTTCCTCCCATTAAAACCCATTGCCTTCGAGTCAATTCTGGCTCATGGCGACCCCATGTGTTACAGAGTAGAACTAAGCTACATAGGGTTTTCAGAAAAGGAACCCTGGTGGCGCAACAGTTAAGTGTTCGGCTGCTAACTGAAAAGTTGGCGGTTCAAACCCACCCAGCGGCTCCACCTGAAAAAGACTTGGTGATCTGCTTCTGTAAAGATTACAAAAACCAAAACCAAACCTGTTGCCATCGAGTTGATTCCAACTCATTGTAACCCTATAGGACAGAGTACAACTGCCCCATAGGGTTTCCTAGGCTATACTTTTTATGGAAGCAGACTGCTACATCTTTCTACCGTAGAGGGTCTGGTGGGTTCAAACCACCAATCTTTTGGTTAGCAGCTGAGGGTTTAACCACTGCACACCAGGACTCCTTTCTGTAAAGATTACAGCCAAGAAAACCCTATGGAGCAGTTCTACTCTGTTACATGGAGTCAGTATGAGTCAGAATCTACTCTATGGCAGTTAGCAACAACCTAGCAGTCTTTACGGAAGCAGATCGACAGGCCTTTCTTCCGAGGTGCTGCTGGTGGGTTCAAACTGCCAACCTTCAGGTTAGCAGCCAATTGCAAACCACTTGCGCCACCCAGGCTCCTTAGGATGTCCTCAGCCACCATTCAACCCCCAAATAGCAGAAGAGGACCTTCTTGGCCAGAAGGTATACTCAAGGATGAACTGACTTTGTAGAAGTTGGAAAGGATTATGGTGCTATTGGCACTTGCCTCCCTCTATTGAAGAATTGAGAAAACTGAGGCAGGGACTCCAAGCTGTAGCCCTGAGATGGTCCTCTACCCCCACCTTCCAGATTATTCCCAGGCCTCTCAACCTGCCCACCTACCCGGCGGCCCTCGCAGGCCCTCAGTGCCTCCTCCAGCTCCCTGCGGACACGCTCGGCCTGGTCCAGCTGCCCGGCTAAGGCCTCCTGGCGCTGGGCAGCCTCGGCCAGCTGACGTCGCAGCTCCTCGACCTCAGGAGGGTCCCCGGGTGGGTCCCTAGATGGGTCCCCAGGTGGAACGGTGGTGTTGGCCCCAGGCTCCGGGCAGCGAGGCCCCTGGGCAGCCGAGGCAGCCAGATTCCAGGCGAGCAGGGCCGCACCAGCTGCCACGGCTGCCAGGAACACTGCAGCTCCGCACAGGGCGAACAGCCGCCATGCTCGGCTCGGCTCAGGCCCCGGCTCGGCCATGCTGCGGTCCCCAGCTTCCTCCCCAGACGACCACGAGCATTTAATTGGCACCTTGGGGCACCAGGGACACCCACGGTTCCGCCCCACCCGGCTGAGGCTTCCTGATCCTTAGGGAGGGGCTGCACCCCCGCTAGGAACCAGTACAGCCTGTCTGAGCGCAAGACTGGATTGTGGGTGCCGGGTTCGAGTTCTGCCTCTGCCTCCCACGTACTGCCCTCTGAGTCTCAGTTTCCGCCTTTGGGGCTTGGTGTCAACCACGAGCACATCCACGCAGGTGCAAGGGGCTGTCGAAGAGATTCTGGGGTTATGTTGTCCTCATTCTGCCGATGGGGACACAGAGGCCGGGAGGCGGGTGTGGCGGGGGGGGGTCACACGACTGACCTCGCTTTCCTGTGACCCACTGTGAGGGCTGCAGGGTGGACCGGCCTCATCTCCCCGCCTTTCCACAGTGGGCCGCCAGGGGGCGATCTTGGAACGCAAATCGGATCCGGGTCTGTTAAAGATCACTCCCTGGCTTTCCTTCCCTCCGAATTCAATCTCTTTCCTCCTCCATCTCTCCCTCTATCTCACCCTCTGTCTTTCTATCCCTCCAACTTCCCCTCCTCCTTCTCCTGTCTTCCTCCTTGCCTTCCCTGACCTTCCCTCCGCCAGCCCTTCTATCTCAACCTCAGCCCTCCATCTCCCTCTCCCCTTCCTTGTCCTTCCCGGTCCCCTTCCCCTTCTCTTTTTCCTCTTCCTCTTCCTTACAAGGGAGTCCTGGTGGTGCAGTGGTTAATAGTTCGTCTGCTACGCGAAAGGTTGCGAGTTCAAATCCACCAGCCGCTCCTTGGAAACCCTACGGGGGGGGCAGTTCTACTCTGTCCTATCAGGTCGTTGGAATCTGCTTGATGGCAGGCAATGGTTTTTTTTTTTTTTTTTTGGTCTCCTTGCAAGATCCCTATCATGTCTCTGGATGTTGCAAATGGTTAAGCACTCACCTACTAGCCAAAAGGTTGGCGGTTCAAACCCACTCATCCAGAGGCACCTCGGAAGAAAGGCCTGGTGATCTGCCTTGAAAACCCTATGGAGCAGTTCTACTCTGCACACATGGGGTCACCATGAGTCAAAGTTGACTTGGCAACTAACAAGGACATCTTTGACATCACTTCCCTCTTCACTAGCCCCCTCAGTGCCCCTCTGACAAGCACATTCCTACCCTAGGGTCTTTGAATGGCTGGTTCCCTGCCTGAGTGTCTTGTTCTCCTCTCTCTCCTGCCGAACTGCCCTTCACCTCCCGGCTTTCACCCACATGTCACCTCCTCCAGGAAGCACCCCTTCACCACTAGCTCAGCCCACTCTTTTGAAAACATTTTATTGTGGTGAAAAAAATACATAACGAAAGATACACCATCTCAACCATTTCCGCCTGTACAATTCCGGGACATTGATTACCTTCTTCAAGTTGTGCAACCATTCTCGCCATCCTTTTACAAATCAGTCCACCACCACGAACATAAACTCACTGCCCCCTAAGCAAAAAGGCCCCTTCCCCCCTCCTGCCCACCCCTGATTGTTGTGTTGATAGATGCCATCCAGTCAATTTCTGATTCATAGTGACCCCATGTGTTATAGAGCAGAACTGACCAATAGGATTTTCTAGGCTGTCATCTGTGAGGGAGCAGCTCGCCAGGTCTTTCTCCTGCAGAGCTGCTGGGTGGGTTCAAATTACCAACGTTTCGGTTAGCAGCTGAGTGCCTAACTGTTGTGCCACCAGGGCTCCTCCTACCACCAACAACCACTAACAAGCTTTAGCTTCTATATATTTGTTTATTACATGTAAGTGAGATCATACAGTATTTGTCCCTTTGCGACTGATTTCGCTCAGCATGATGTTTTCAAGGTTCATCCATGTCGAGGCATGTATCAAGACTTCATTTCTCTTTCTGGCTGAGCAGTATGTATTCCATTGCGCTCAAGTCCCTTCTGACGGCTCCGCTGTGATGTTACATTTCTGTGTGTGACTGATTCCCGCCATCAGACTGGATGAGCCCCTAAAAGCAAAGCCTGCATCTGCCCCATTTCCGCTGTGACCTGCCGGGGCCAGGCACACAGTAGGTGCGCAGTAAATATGAGCTGATGGGCAGCTGACTGTGACCTAGAAACTCAGCCCTCCCTCCCCCACTCATTCCAGGAAAAGAAACCGGAGCCCAGAGAGGCGCAGTCCCAGGCCAGGGACACACAGTGGCCTCTGGTGTGGCTGGATGCCCGCAGGAGCTGGAACTCGCTCAGGCAGCCACAACCCCCCCAGCCTCGCCTTCCCGATCATGGGGTGGGTCACAGCTAGTGGAGTCAGATGCCATTGAAAGGGGACAAAATTGCAAGGGGGGATTTTTACGAAGGAAAGACGTTTATACTGGGACTGTTGTGAGGGGATCTGGGAGAGAAATTGAACAGGTGAATTCATTATATCAGGCAAAGCCTCCACCAGCTAAACACAGGCCAGGATGAAGAGGAGGCGGCGGCGCTGTTTTCGGATATGGGGCTGGGGGAGACAAACTGGAAGTGGGAAGTAGGGGACGGTGAATGGGGGTGGGGCCGAGGTCTCCTCGGAAGTGTTTGCTTCCTGGGCGACAGAGAACCTGGTAGAAACCGGAGGGTTTCATTGACAGCTCTGCCTCTGACCAGCTGTGAAACCTGGAAAATGGCTTCTTGGGCCTCAGTTTTCTCATCTGTTAGATGGGGCTGTTGGTGAGGGTGAAATGACTTAGTACTGTAACTTCCTGAGCCCTCCTGTGGGCCGGGGGCTGAGAAATGAGGGGGGCAGATGAGAACTACTCTTTAGAGCAGACGTTTGCGAGGGGGGAGAGGGTGGTGTTTCTGCCCCCAGGGGGACTTTAGTAATGTCTGGAGGCATTTTTGGTCGTCACACTTGGGGATGGTGGTGCTACTGGCATCTAGTGGGCAGAGGCCAGAGATGCTGCTCAACTCCCCACGCTGCACAGGACGACTGCTGCTGTGAACTGAATTTTGTCCCCCCCAAAAATATGTTGAAATCCTAACCCCTAGTACCTGTGATCGTGACCTTGTTTGGAAACAGGATCTTTGCAGACGTAATATAATCAAGTTAAGAAGAGCTCATACTGGAGTAGGGTGGCCAACGTTGCTGCTGTTGTTAGTTGCCATGGAGTCATACACAACAGAATGAAATGTTACCAGGTCCTGCGCCATCCCCATGATCAGTTGCAGATCAGAGTGGTATGATCCATAGGGTTTTCATTGGTGGATTTTTGGAAGTCAGTCGCCAGGCCTTTCTTCCTAGTCTGAAAGCTCTGCTAAAATCTGTTCAGCATCCTAGCAACACGCAAGCCTCCACTGACAGACGGGTGGTGGCAGTGCATGAGGTGCATTGGCCAGGAATCAAACCCAGACTCCAGTATGGAAGGCGAACCTTCTACCACCGAACCACCACCGCCTCAAATCCAGTGACTGACGTCCTTACAAGGCGAGAGAGATTTGAAGACACAGAGGCACAGGAGGGAAGTCCACGTGAAGATGGAGGCGGAGATTGGAATGATGAAGCCACAAGCCTGGGTGGCACAAACAGTTAAGCGCTCAACTACTATCCAAAAGGTTGGCAATCAAAACCCACCCAGAGCCATCTCTGAAGACAGGCCTGGCGATCTGCTTCCAAAAGGTCACAGCCATGAAAACCCTACGGAGCACATTTCTGCTCCGCACATACGGGGTTGCATGAATCAGAATCGACTCGATGGCAACTAACGACACAGCCCCAGGAACGCCTGGAGTCACAAGAAGCTGGAAGAGCCTCCTGAGGGAGAGCTGCCCTGTCGACACCTTGATTTCAGACTTCTCCCTTCTAGAACTGAGAATAAATCTATGTTGTTTAAGCCACCCAGCTTGTGGTGCCTTGTTGTGACAGCCCCAGGAAGCTCGGACATCGACTTCCCCTTCGCTGTCCCTCTAACACCCAAGCTTGCTCATTTCTGCCGCAGGACCTTTGCAGTGACTGTTTCCTCTGCCTGCATCACAGTTCTCCAGACCTCTGCCTCTTTTCTTCTTTTGTTCTCAGCTCAGCTCTAGGTCACTCGTACAGTCCCCCACAGCAAAGAATTTTTCTGCTGAGACATCAACACTGTTGCAGTTGAGAAATTTCAGAAGGAAGAGAGTGCTCCTGGCAGCAGGTTGTGCTCAGGCAAAGGCCAGGCAGCAGGAAGAAGCGTGGCAAGGTCGGTAAACAGAGAAAAGGTCAGGGAGGGTGGAGTGTGGGCAAGGGGAAATGAGAGGACGTGAGGGCCACGGTGGGGGACCCTGCAGTGGGGGAGGTCATGGGGGTGGCACTAGGCGACAGCGAAAGGAGCCATGGGGGGAGGCACTGTTATTCCACTGACCATCTCAGCGGGGGACCATGGGACTTGAGGACAGTGTGGAATTTCGGGAATTCAGGGTCCTGACCCCAGAGCCACAGATAGGAAGTTGGACAATAGTTGGGATTCCAGGAGAACTCAGAGGTAGGAAGATAACCAAGAAGAAAGGGACTAGGACGCCTGGGAGAATCCAGGAAAGCAGTGAAAGGTCTTGAGCTCTCAGTTTTGAAGAAGCAGGGATGCTCTCTGGAGGGGGGTGCAGTGCGATGGATCATTTTGTGTGGACTTTCTCTCCTGTGTCTCCTCTGTGTCTGCAAATCTCTCTCTCCTTGTAAGAACATCAGTCACTGGATTTGAGGCGGTGGTGGTTCGGTGGTAGAAGGTTGGCCTTCCATACTGGAGTCCCAGGTTTGATTCACGGTTAGTGCACCTCATACACCTCATTTAACTCCCATCCAGGTGATTGGGCGGGACTGTGCAGATAGGGTAATTGTGGCCCACCAAGGGTTAGTTTTGCTGTCCCGCTGGGCTTGAAATAAGCTACCCAATAGGTGGGAAAGGGAGGATCCTACCACCACCAAGGAAGAACAGCCAGGAGTGGAGAGCGCATACCGTGGACCTGGGATCCCTGCACTGAGAAGCTCCTGGACCCAGGAGAGAGAGTGAACTGTAACCCTGAAGACAGCAAGAAGTGGCGGCAGGCGAGACCAGCAGGAGAGATGGTGCACTGGGATTCCTGGCCTGTGGAGCGAGAAAGCTGAGTGCCTTTGGGCAAGGGTGGTGGGCCAGGAAGAGTCATGCCCGAGAGCACCGCTGGGAAGAGGCTGTCCTGATGGAAGAATTGTATTCTAAGCCTTCCTGAACCTGAATTGTAACCTATTACTTCCCTAATAAACCCCATAATTGTGAGTATGGTCTGCGTGGCCATTATAATGAATTATCAAACCCACCAGAGAAGTAGAGTGCTGTCAGAGGGATGGTTGTTGTCAGAGTTGGTAAAGATGGTGGAGAGAGGAAGCATGTCTGACCTCTGCCTCACAGGAATCATCCTTGGGCTGTCGATCTTGATTCTCCTTCCCCTTGTGAAGTTAGAGGTCAGACACCGCACCCATGCCATTTTTACAGAGGGGTTGCTGGGGCTGGATGCTGCAGGATGAGTAAGAGTTCAGGGGACAGAGGAGGACGGTAACAGTCTGATCAAGGCCTGGTCTGTGTGTCCACAGATCCAGGTTTGAATCCCAGCCCCCTCTTTCTGTGAGAGGATGGAAACCAGGGTGGCCCTAGTCACACAGCCTCAGTTTCCTCATCTGAACCATGGGCATCACAAGAGGATGAGGAGGAGTACGATGCTCAGCATGCGCACGCAGAGCCCATATGACGAAGGAGAAGGCTGAGGAAAGCATTGAGGTGGATACTTGCCTGGGCCCAGGGGCTTCCTGGGAACATTCTAGATAACGGAGACGTCTACGTCATCCCCAGGGGAGGCCTCAGATGCTTGTGGGTGATGCAGTGACACACCCCAAACTGCAGAGTAACATTTTTTCCCCTCAAAAGGGGATTTTATTACTTTTTGTAGCCCAAAGGCATAGAAGACAGTGACCCTTCCAGATACTGTGACAGCAAAGAAGCAGGTGTCCTCGCTCCATGCTCAAGCCCTCAGGGGGGCTCATTCCCTGCCCTGCTCATTCCCTGCTCCCTCTCACCCCCAGCGCTGCCCTGTGCCCCTCTAATACTACTCCGTGCCCCCCATAATGCTGCCGCATGGTCCCTGAAGGCCAGCCACGTCAAAGAGGGCGTCAACCAGGGAGCAGAGGCGAAACGGACCCGTCCAGGCTGTGACCTAAGGGGCCCAATAAGAGACTCAGGCCCAACTCGAGGCAGACAGAACACGCCCCGCTCCCACAAGCCCCGCCCCTCAGGCCCCGCCCCTCTCCGTTCCTCTTGCCAGACCCCGACTCCAAGTACCGCCCCTCCGCACCTTTCTTCTCCAAGGGCCCTTCCCTCCTTACCGTAGGTGTGGAGTTCCGGGATTCAGAGCAGCACAGCCATGATGAGGCCCAGGAGCTGGAGGAGCCCAGCAGCCACCGAGGGGCTGAGGGTGGTCGAGGAGCTGGAGGTGTGGGAATTTCCACGGGCCTCCTTCTCTTTTCTGGGGCAGAGATGGGGTAGCTCAGGCAGCAGCTCTAGGCCTGTGTCCCCCACCCAGACTCACGGGGGTAGGGAGTGTGCCGTGGCACCGGCCACCCACGGGCTGTGTGATCCTAGGCTCGCGGCTGCCCCAGTCTGGGCCTCAACTTTACCCCCTGGGCAATGGGGAATTTGGGGCCAAAGGGGTCCTGGGTCTTGAGGAAGGATGGTGGGGGTGACAAGAGCATGGTCTGGGGGCTCTCTGACCTTAGCTGCTCCACCTCCGCCATCTTTTCCTGCAGCTTCTGGTTCAGTTTCTTGATCTCTTCTGGGGGGTGGGACAGGACAGGGGCAAGTCCATGCTGTGGCCATGCCCCTGACCTGGGCCCACCCCGGACTGCATCTTGCCTTGCCCCTTCAGGGGACTTTGGCCCCGCCCCCACCTGACCCCACCTTGGAACCACAGTATGCGCCTTTTCCACTTTCCAACTGTACGACCCCAACCCTGGAACCCTGCTCCAGGCCCTTTTCCAGTGCCTGAGCGGGCCCACGCTCTGACCCCTCCCGTTATATGGACCCTTCTCTCATATGGCCCTGGCCCTGGCCCCACCCCTCACCTCTACCACTCCAGGACCTTGCCATCCCCATCTGGCTCCACCTCTCATTAGGGCCCTGGCCCACCCTCCACGCCCTCCCTGGAACACCGGCCCCATCTCCCCTTCTTACCCTCAAGCTCCTCAACAAGTGCCTGCTTCTTCTGGCCCTGAGCCTTCTCCACCTCCAGGGAAGCAGTCAGGTTCACCTGGGACAGAAGGGACAGGTCAGAAACTTTACACAGTCTTCTCAAGTGCACATGGAACATTCTCCAGGACTGACCATATGTTAGGCCACAAAATAGATCTCAATAAATTTAAATAGATTGATATCATTCAAAATATCTTTTCCAATCCCAGTGGAATGAAATGAGAACTCAGTAACGGAAGAAAAACTGGAAAATTTACAAATATGTGGTCATTAAATAACACACTCTTAAACAACCAATGGGTCAAAGGAGAAAACTAGAAAATACTTTGAGATAAATGAACATGGAAACACAGTGTACCAAAATTTATGGGATGCAGCAAAAGCAGTGCTCTGAGGGAAATTCCTAGCTGTAAACACTTACATTAAAAAAGAAGAAAGACCCCAAATCAATAATCTAATTGTCCTTAAGGAACTAGAAAAAGAAGAGCAAACTAAACCCAAAGCTGGCAGAAGGAAGGAAATAATAAAGGTTAGAGCAGAGATAAATGAAATAGAGAACATTGTTATATCAAATAAATTCAGGACAGTTGCAGGATTCAAAATCAGCACATCAGTTATACACTATATATGTCTATACTCTAGCAATGAACAATTAAAAAAGGAAATTAAGAAACAATTCCATTTACAATAGCACAAAAAATACTTAGAATAAATTTAGCCAAGGAGGTGAAAGACTTGTACATTGAAAACTATAAAACATTGCTGAAAGAAATTAAAGAAGACCTAAATAAATGGAAAGATACCCGTGTTCTTGGTTTGGAAGATTTCATATTAACATGGCAATACTACTATGCAGATTCAATGCAATCTCTATCAAGATCCCAATGGCATTTTTTGCAGAAATAGAAAAATGCATCCAAAGTTTCACACAGAATTCCAAGGGACTTCAAATAGTCAAAACAATATTGAAAAAGAAAAAGTTGGAGGACTCACAATTCCCAATTTCAAAACTTAGTGCTAAGCTCCGGTAATCAAAACAATGTGATACTGGCATATGGACAGACATACAGACCAATGGAATAGAATAGACAGCCCAGAAAAAAACTCTCACATATATGGTCAATTGATTTAGACAAGGGTACAAAGACTTTTTTTCTTTTTACAATTAGTTTTATTGTAGGAAAAAAAAAAAAAAAAGATACAAATGAAGAGACGCATAGGGTGAGGTCTAGGAGGGTTCCCAACGCGGAGTTTCCATGTTCCAAAAAAGGGATGTGCTACCCTCTTGGGTGCATGGTTGTCTTTCACCAACCAGAAGCCCATGGAGCTTCTGTGTCCAGAGCTTTTATTGACAGTCTCATTACATAATGTAAACTCCAGTTCCTTTCCCCTGAAGTTAGCTCATATGACAAGGTGGTCCTTCTGGCCTGACCAGCACCCCCCGCACCCCCCCCCCATTATCCTGGAGTCACCTCACCTAGCCTGTTAGTTAAGTGTGGTCTGGAGTCCTTATTGAAAACACTTAAATTCCAAGGCTTTTTGGAGATCATCTCTCAGGAACTGAGGGCAAAGACAAAATTCTTTGGATAAAGTTAATGTAAACTCCACACCCACAAAATTCATCAGTCTCATACTGGAAAATATTATTTTGCATTTATTCTAGAAAATTTTACTAAGGGTGCCAAGACTATTTAATGGGGGAAAGAACAGTCTTTTCAACAAATGGTACTGGGAAAACTGGACATCTACATGCAGATGAATGAAGTTGGACCCCTACCTCACACCATATAAAAAAATTACCTCAAAATCGTTCAAAGACCCAAATCTAAGAGCTAAAACCATTAAACTCTTAGAAGAACATAGGGAGAAATTTTTATGACCTTGGATTTGGCAGTGGATTCTTAGATATGACACCAAAAGCACAAGCAACAAAAGGAAACATAAGTAAATGGGACTTCATCAAAATGAAAAACTTTTGTACATGAAGAGTAAAAAGACAACCCACAGAATGGGAGGAAATATTTGTAAATCATCTATCTGATAAGGGATTAATATCCAGAATATATAAAGAACTCCCACAACTCAACAATTTAAAAAACTACATATAATCCAATTAAAAAATGGGCAAAGGACTTGAATACACATTTCTTCAAAGAAGAAATACAATGGCCAATAAGCACATGAAAAGATACTAAACATCATCAGTCACTGGGGAAATGCAAATCAAAAAACCACTAGGATGGTGCTATGGATGGAATTGTGTTCCCCTAAAAATGTATGTCAACTTGGCTAGTCCATGATTCCCAGTATTATGTAATTGTCTGCCATTTTGTCATCTGATGTGATTATCCTATGTGCTATAAATCCTACTTCCATGATGTTAATGAGGTGGGATTAGTTGCAGTTATGTAAATGAGGCTGGACTCAATCTACAAGATTAGGTTGCATCTTAAGTCAATCTCTTTGGAGATATAAAAGAGAGAAACGAGCAGAGAGACGGGGGACCTCGTACCACCAAGAGAGCATCACTGGGAGCAGAGTGAGTCCTTTGGACCTGGGGTTCCTGCGCTGAGAAGCTCCTAGACCAGGGGGAGATGGATGACAAGGACCTTCCTGCAGAACCAACAGAGAAAGAAAGCTTTCCTCTGGAGCTTGCACCCTGAATTCGGACTTCTAGCCTACTAGACTGTGGAGAATAAATTTTTCTTTGTTAAAACCATCCACTTGTGGTATTTCTGTTACTAGATAACCAAGACAGATGGTTATTATATATACAGAATATACAAGTGCTGGTGAGGATATGGAGGAATTGGAACCCTCATGCATTGCTGATGGAAATGTAAAACGGTGCAGCCACTGTGGAAAACAGTATAATGGCTTCTCAAAAAGTTAAACATAGAATTATCATATGATCCAGCAATTCCACTCCCAAGTATATACCTCAAGGAATTGAAAGCAGAAATATGAATAGATACTTGTACACCAATAGTCATTGCAACATTGTTCACAATAGCCAAAAGATGGAAAAAACCTAAGTGTCCATCAACAGATGAGCGGATAAGCAAAATGATATATACATACCGTGGAATATTGTTTGGTTATAAAAAGAAATGAAGTACTGATATATGCTACAACACAGATGTACCTTGAAAATATTATGCTCAGTGAAGTAAGCCAAACACGAAAGGTCACATGTTGTATGACTACATGTATATGAAATGTCCAGAACAGGGAAATCCATAGAAACAGAAAGATTAGCGGTTGCCAGGGGCTGGGGGGAGGAGGGGAGAATGGGGAGTTAGTGGGTAATGGGTGCTGAGTTTCTGTTTGAGATGATTAAAAAGTTCCAGAAATAGACAGTAGTGATGGTTACACAACATTATGCATGTACTTAATGCCACTCAACTGTACGCTTATAAATGGTTAAAATGGTAAGATTCGTGTTATGTATATTTTACCACAATTTAAAAAATGGGGAAAAGAAAGGAAACTGGGTCTGAGTCCTAGGAACATTGGCCACTGTCCCTGGGCCCTGGACCTGCTCACGAGGGTCTGGAGACAGAGGGGCTTAGGACTAAATCCCCTTTCAGTTCCCCTCCAACCTTCTCTGTACCTCAGCCTCCAACTCCAAACAATGGTTACAACTATCCACCCTTCCAGGGTCACCAGTAAAGATGTGATACTTGAAAAGGAGTTTTGAGCCCCCCTTGCCTCCCCCACCCCCCCGCAACCTCATGCCCGAACCCTAATAGAAACTGCCAGATGCACTGGGCTAGTGGCCAAGATTTAGAGATCCCCTCCAAAGGGGAGATTTCCAAGCCCAAGTTTGAGTCTAATGGGAGTTTCAAGGTCCCCCATATCGCGACCCGGGTGAAAGTTTCATCTCCCAGGGATGCAGTGGAAGTTTCAAGGCCACCTTCTTCGGGCCCTGGTGAGGCCCGGAGACCCAGTCTTTAGCGGGGATTTCTGTTCCCCCAAGACTGATGCCTACTGGGAGTTTCAAGCTCCCCCACACTAGCTTCCGAGACAGAATTTGTAGATTCCCCAAGTCCTAGTGGGAAACTGAGGCTCCTGATTTGGGTGTTTTGGGGGAGTTTTAAGGCCCCGCCACACACCAGTGCCCTGGAGAGAATTTGGAGATTCCCCAAGCCCCTGATATGGCCGCCCAGGGGCAGTTTCAAGCCCTTCATCTCCACACTGCTGCTGTGGGGATTTTTGTGGAGAGTTTCTAGCCCCACCCCTGCAAGCACAGGACCCTAGTAGGAGCTTTTGCCACTTACCACAGTGTGGTTGCAGGCATCCGCCTGGGCCTGGGCCTCCCAGAAGCCCTCCTGGGCTTGCGTCAGCTGGCGTTTCAGGTGGGTGGCGTTTTGACCTTCTTTCTGGACCTCCAGGCCATCCTTGCAGGCCTTGCTGTTGACGATGATGATCAGGGCCACCCCGAGGGCCATTACCAGAAGCAGCAGAAGCAGCACGCCCCCGACCCTGGCTTTTCCCCATTTGTCATCCATGGGCACGGGAAAATGGTGGTAAAAAGTTGGGGCCATTCACATCTCCTCTGAGTTAGGGAACTGGGCAGTAGAGGCAGCGCTTGAACGTTCTAGGGCTGCCCCCTTATTAGCATAGGAGCCACCTTGACCAATGACAGGTTGCAGGCTGCGGCCTTAGAATGGGGTATCTGCTGCCAGAGGACCGCTGAGAATTTCAGTTTCGTTTTCCTCGAAAGGAGTAGGAGTGCTTCTCTCGCATTAAGACTTCTGGTCCGTGGAAGCTTGTGGGAGGGGCGCTGGGGCCGCCTGGGACGAGGCAGCTCGCGTCCCGGTCCCTTTCACGAGAGTTTCTGAGGGCCAAAATTGCAATTACTGAGCGCCTACTGCACGCTATCGCAGAAGCAGAGGCCTTCATTGATCTAGCAGCGGAAACTGAGGCTGTGAGGGTCAATGAATGGTGGACTGGTGGTGCAGAGCCTCGGGCTGACCCAAAAGGCTGGGGTTTGTTTTCAGGGGTTTCCGTGGTGATTCAGAAGGGGTTCACCCAGCGCCCCTGCCTCCGCAGAGGGTGGCCTTGGGGAGCCATGGAGGGTGAGTGAGCAGGGGAGGAACCTGAGCCGGCGGGAGGCTTAGGAAGCGCTCTGGACAGAAGGCTTGAGAAGAGACTGCAGCTCCTCTTTTGGCCACCAGGGACCGCCCCAGACCTGAAAGGGGTGGAGGCGGGAACTAGCCTGGCTGGAGGTGGAACGGGCTTGTCCTTCTTGCCCCTACGATCCCAGGACGCCAAGCAACCCTCTGACCCTGAGCTTCCCTGTGTGTAAAGTGGGGCAATAACGGACCAATCTTGCCAGGAAGGGTCGATGAGAAGATGTGAGTGAAATGCTTGGGCATCAAGTAGGCGCTTAATGGGTGTGCAGCCACCTGACCAGCTGGTGGCTCGAGGTGGATGGACAGATGGATAGTGCTGAGACAGGGCCACAAGGCAAGGAGTACGTTTTGGGGAAAGACGCTCGGGCCTGGGAGACAGCCAGGAGAGAGGCCAGAAGGTAGCTGGACCCACGGGGTTGGGGGTGTGGGTGTTCACAGTGACTGCCTGGCCACATGGCCAAGGGAGCCAGAGCTTCTTGTGAGAAATCAGCCCAATTACAGGCTCCTGTCTCCTGGGTGTGATGGCTGTAAGGGGGTGAGCTCCCCATCATCAGGGGCATGCAAGCAAACAAGGGCTCTCCAACAGCAGCTGGGCCAGAGGACCAAGCTGAGAGGCCTGATTCTGGGAGGGCACACCAGGAGGCAGGTCATAGCCTGATGGGAGAGCACTGAGGGTGGCATACTGGCGGCCAGAATCCCCTCCTCGGACAACAGGTTCCAAAGGGCTAGAGAAAGGACATTCCTCAGCTCTGGGCGCCAGGTGGGCTGCTCCCTCCTGGTGAACCGTAAGCTGGGCCTGGCCCCGTGGGCTGTGCGTTTTTCAAGTGGCTCCTTCAGCCACGGCCTGACCGCAACCCAGATTCCACTGGGTTGGCAATTTCCAAGTGTTTGTGTTCAGCTGGGCCAGACGGCAGGCAAGCAGGGGCCCAGGCCTCCCAGAAGGCCTGGCGAAGCATCCTCAGGCCCCCAGTTGGACATCCTTTTGTCTATAAGTCCCCCATTAAAGCACTCAGCAACCAAATAACAAGGGAAGGGGAGTGATCTTGCTGGAAAGCCCCAAGGGGAACTTGTGTGTCCCATAGGGAGGGTTCTCTCTCCCTGGGCCAGGACCCTGGGTGCACAAGACATGGCCCTTGGCAAAGCTGACTTATCTGAGCCGCAGTCTGCTCTTCAAACTTTAAGGTCTCCTTGAGACCAGTTAGCGGCCACAATTGTGGGTCAGAGTTGTAGGTAGACAGCCTTGCCTCCCTGTGGGACTCCGGGCCAGTGACTTACTTCTCTCAGCCTTGGTTTCCCCAGTTGTAACTTGAAGATAATAATAGAACCTGCCTTCAAGGGTCGTAGATGCTTAGCAAACCTGAGGTCTCCTCTGTCCCCTGGTTGGGTTCTTCAGCCCTGTGATTGCACCGCAAAAAACCCAAACCTGTTGCCGTCCAGTCAATTCCAACTCATCTGCAAATAGAAAGTTTGCGGCTTTTCCCTCTAAAATTCCAAATGGAAACTGTTCTGCCGCCCTTCTTCTGATTTTAGGTTTCTTAGTTTTTTTTTTTAATTTTAATTTTTATTGTTGTAGTTTAAATGAAGTTTACATTTCAAGTTAGTCTCCC